TAATTATATAACATTTTTAAGAAATAAATATAGATACATATTAATTAAACTAACATTATTAAAATGATAATTAAAATTGACAAGACCAATTTATTAAACGATTTAATGAATAATTCTTACAATTAAGTTCCTCTTTTTTTGTTGCTATATAATGTATATCTTTTATTATTATTAAACTGCATTATCGATCAAAGTTACACGCGTCAAGAAATGATGTCAAATTAAAAAAAGTTTCAAAAATGATAAATCGGGACACAAAATATTCTAAAAATGTCACATAGGTAATTTTCTATTTCGTGGGATGTTTTTCAAAATTTCAAAATGTCCCTTACAATGCACGAAACATACGCAATTATAATTAGTCATAATGAATTCTCTGAGAATTGGGAATTGGATGACGGATGATGTCATTGCCCCGAAGTACCACCGAGGGGCGCAGCGCTGCTTGCGTGTGGCCAGTTAGGCGCTCAAGATGGCCGTCACGTACATCTGATCGGAGGTGTGTATGCGAAATTCGACGCCGATTTGACGTGACACGGGTGGGCCGTGCATCGTGCACCTCGCGCCGCTGGCATGGTGATCGCGCGGAGGTAACCGGAGCCGGGCATCGACGCGGATCGTCCTGGGCGTCGCCGTCGATGATTGTTCCTGTCCCCGCGGCCGCCGGCGGCTTGAATCATGTTCAGCAAGAAGCTCCATGTAGACGTCAAGAAGTCGACGCTCAAGATCCAGGATGTTAAGAAGGACAGCGCGACGCGATTCAAACATCTTAAAATCGTACTAGGTGAGGATCATGACGACAAAGATGTGTCGGTGATGACAGGTCACGATAGGCTGATTCAGGTATTTCGCGGAATGACAATAGCGAATTCGAGGCGGTACCACTGATATTTACTAGCTCCCACGCGTGTTGGCGGAGGCGCCTCAAATTGCTAGCCACGAGGACGTTTCTCATAGCGGACGTTTCTCTCCTCGTTCCATCTTCATTCTCTCTCATATCGCGGTCTTTAATGAACTTCAGATTTTACTTTTTACTTCTCAGATATAGAGTGAGAGAGAACATGAGAGTACACAACATTACTTTTACGTTACTGAGGAAAAATTGTTTACTTCATATATCTCATTTGACTTCTTTGAAAATAGAAGATGACCCTGGAGGAATGTTGATATGTGAAGTAGAAAATTAAAAATAACCATTGTAATGATTTTGACCAAACCAAATAAAACTTTGATTAATTCAATCAGAATTACTTGCTGCAAAATATTTAATTGTATTATTATCCCAGATCTATATTTTTTATGTAAGAGAAAATTATTTGATTATTAGATTTATTATTAGAATTATTAGATTAATTATTTGATTTATGTTAATAAAATAGCACAGATGATTTGAGTTGTTGAGTTAATCAGAATTTGGTCAAAGTGGACCTTAATTAATATTAATGAGAGATTATTTTTTGCAAGCAGATTTTTTAATAAATATAAAGATATCATTAATATAATAATAATAATTTATTATTAATCATCTATTAATAAATAATAACAGGGCAGGACACAAATTGCGTATACTTTTATTAGGAATTGTTTTCATCAT